GTAAATCTATTTCCAGCTAGCCAGATTACTTGGTGACAGCGAAGACACCCAGAGACTCCAGGATGTTGAACCAAAAGTTAAGAGGAGACCGAAACATAGGACGGTTAGGTGGGGCTGCTCTCCGCAGCGCCCGCCCCCCCTCATGCCTCTGCCTCAAATGCCCTTTGATCTGGTCTGGTTTTGGTCAAACTCATGGGCACGTGACTGTGCAGAAGCAACCAGCACTTGGTTTAATGCTCTTCTTAGTTTCTTCATTAATATATTACCATAACATTATTAATATAATTATCACTATAATATTATTATATTAATAATATTTATATTATTTACTTTCTTAAATAATTTCTTAATAGGTTTTGAATGAGGGGTTCCTTATTTTCACTTTAGACTGGGCCCTGTAAGTTAAGTAGCTAGACCTGCTCCTACCTGTCCTCCAAGGCTTGACTAAAATAAAACCTGGCCTCTAATCAGAATTAATTACTCCCACATTTGTGCTGCAGTTCCTTTGTTTATATCTCTAGTGCATGAATAACATCGCCATTAATTTCTGTCTGAGCTTGGTTGTTATAACAAAATACCACAGACTGGGTGGCTTAAACAACAGACATTTATTTTCTCACAGTTCCGGAGGCAAGGAAGTCCGAGATCAGTGTTTCAGTATGGTCGGTTCCGATGAGGACCCTCTTCTTAATCTCACCAAAGGCTGCCTCCTGGCTATGTCCTCACATAGCGAAGAAAGAGAGAGTGCTCTGGTGTCCCCTCTTCTTCTAAGGGCCCTACCCTCAGGACCTCATCTAAACCCTAAGTACCTCCCTAAGGCCCTGCCTCCTAATACCAGCTCGAGGGTCAGGGCTTCTGCAAGTGAATGAAGGAGGGGGTTACAAACATTCAGCTCATCATAATTGATTATGTGGTTTTCCACCAGAAGTCTGTGGATTCTGTAGGTTGCCTCTTTGTAAACCCTAGGATCTGCTGCCAAGCTCTGCCTGAAGAGGGCACTTAAATGTTTGTTGAATTGCATTTACTGACTTAATGTGCATCATGCAGTCCAGCCCTTGGGAAATGCAGATCGGCTATGCCCTTCTGTTCTCCGCCTTGTCGGTCCTGGGGTGGCTGGCGCGGTTGGAATCACCATGCCCAGGCACTGTCTGTTGGGAGACACTGAACATACTGTGTTTCATCAACAGACTTCAGGTAAGGGGAAGATTTTTCTAGAAGGCAGCAGCACAGACCTAGCTTTGAATTTTACTGGCTGTCAGATTTGGGGGCCTGGTTTTATCACCAGTGAAATGGGAATGGTGATAATATTGCCCTCGAAGGGTAGATGTGGGGATTAAATGTGAACATGTATATGAGGTGCTTCACCAGTTGCCCTACTGATCAGACGAGCTCATAGATTTTATTATTATTTTTAAAAGATTTCCTTTGCAGCAAAATTCAACCTTGACAGGCCCTCACCCCCTAGGCCATTGCTGACTATCCATTTACGCTTACCAGCAAAGCCCAAGGAAGCCAAGATTTCATCTATAATGAGGCCTTCCCTTCACTGAGGCTGCTCCTGCCTAATTGCACTTTGGCTAAGAACAAAACTTTCAGTCAACAAGCAAGGGAGACCGAGTTGTCTGTGCAGAGGGCACACTTCATGGGCAGCCGTTCCTCCTCTGTGACTCCCACAGGGCAAAGGAGAACAAACCACTTTCTGGTTGAAAGGCAAAAAAGGCTTCACTATTCCACTCCCCGACTTTACTGAGGAAGAAGCTAAAGTCCCAGAGAACTTCTGAGGTATTTTCTTTAAAGATGTTTGTGGGGTCCCATAAAAGTCTGAGGACCATTTGGTTAGACGCATTAAATATCCCATGCAGGGGGTGTAGATCTGGGGTATTGAGTTAATCTACCAGTAGGGGGAGCCATCTAGCTGGCCTCCTCTTCCCGCCCCAGAGCTCTGTGAGGTTGGGATGAGCTGGATAGGGTGAACTCATTTCCTGGGGGACCAGGGCTGGGTTGTTGCTCCCAGACCTGCCAGTGAACTTGCTCTAGCTGCCAGATATTTCCGGCCCATTAGCTTGTGAATTTGCAGTGAACCCAATTTCATTCTGGAAGAGAGGAAACCCGGAGGACAAAACTTGGGGCTGCTGGCCCCACCCTGCCTGCCTTCTTTTTTCCAGGGGCTGCTCCCTAACCTTTAGTTATCAGAAGGCATCTCAGCAATGTTTCCCAGGGATAAAGATCTATCTAAGGTGTGAACAGTCACTGAAATCCAACAGGATCAGGCCATTCCAGGTAGACTGGATCGGGGCAGTCAGTCCCTGAAAGGCCTGGTCCTGAGCTCTGACTTCCTGTGAGCGCTGCAGTTTCCAAATGGAAATGTCCCACTCTCAATTTATTGCTTAATTTCTTTCCTATCCAAAGCAAAGGAATGAAGATAGGCTTTGCTTTCAATCAAGGCTTGAATTTTAAGTGGACTTTTTCATTGATTTATGAAATGCTAAATTTTTTGCAACCTCCAGCAGACGAAGATGAACCCATCCATTCTGCTATGACTATTTTCCCCTTTACACAGAGAATAGGATTCCATCATGTCTGTCAGTGGTTCTTGTAGCAGACTGACTAAACCACTAATGCACTTAACAGTACTTCTCTCTCTCTCTCTTTTTTTTTTTATCCCTTGTAACTCATCACATCCCGATTATCCTCCTCATGGCTGCTCCTGAATATGGGAGAGCAGTTTGGATGATGTATTGTGTTTGAGACACTTTCCTGGTGAATTCCCTAAGACTGAAGAAGTGAAAAGCAATGAGATCGGGAATGTTTTCTTTTTTCACTTGACCTGTGAGCTGCTTTTGTAGAGATATTTTTGAACTCTGTATAGGAGAATAATTTGGGTGAGTTGAGAGCCTTTAATACCAAATCTTACAAAAGGTTTGGTGCAATTCTTGCCTTTCTTCAGGAAGAGGTCCACTAAATAGGGGCCAAGGGATGTGCCTTACAAACAGTCCCATCTCCATGGAGCTACTGTGTGTTTCCATTGGCAAGACTTTTCTTCTGTCCAGAGGTGGACGACTGAACTCTAGGACCTTCACAGACTCCATTTTCTCTGACATGATACCATTTTTATTGGGGGAGGCTCTGCTCCTCCCCATAGGCCTTTAGCATCAAGGCTTGAAAGCATTAGTCAAAAGAAGGCATTTATCTGAGAGGGACAGGGGAGCTACCCCTGCTGCCTCAGCATGGAGACAATGGGACAACATTTATCTTCTTATATTTCAGAATTTCTTCCCTTGTTTGGGAGCAGAGTGTCTGGATTCCAAATACTTTGTTTTCCCATGGAAGGGAACAGAACAACCTCTGCTCTGAGGTCTTTCAGAGAGATAGGCCATTCCCTATCCATCCATCTATCCATCCATCCATCCACCCATCCATCCATCCATCCATCCATCCATCCATCCATCCATCCATATGATATTTCATTAATTCAAAGAGCATTTACTGAGCACTTACGCTGTGCCAGGTACCACACTGGGGGGAAATGAGAATATGAAACATTCCTTGATCTTTAGCTCCCAGTTTAGTTGAAGAGAAGTAGCATACTAGTAGTCCTGCAATATATTAAGGACTAACAGGTGTTCACAAAAGTGTGGAGGTAACTAAGCAGTCCAATGTTGTTACATCTGAAAGGCATTAGACAATGATACACTGATGTAGGGATGGGGTGGGATATAGTGATTGTCTACCATTATCCCATCTTTGTATTTGTATGGAATGTGTGTGTGTGTTCCTTTTCAGCTCTAGCCCACATGCTTATACAAGTTATATTTATATAATAAAGACTTTGTTGCTTCTGCCTTTTTCATTGGACATAATAAACATTTGGCATCCATACAAACACATAAAACATTTCCACACATGTGCATACACGTCCATTCACAGGTGCACATATATACATATATACAGATCTATGTACATAAACACACAGAGAAATCTCTCCGTATCTAAATCTATATCTATTGTTTGATAGGTAGAGATAGGTAGAGATTTATGTGCGTCTGTATCCTCAGTATATATGCATGTCTGTATATTTTCTTTTCTTTATATTACTCAAGTTTTAAGAGAGTGAGTCTTTAAGGATCATAAGCAGGAATTTGATAAGATTAATTTCCTAAAATCTAAGGATACCTAAGGGAGTGATCTACTCTTTCCTCGTTCTCTAAATATGTTTTATGTTTAGCACTCATGAGAATTTATAGCAGGGATTATTTCAGGAGTGTTTTCTCTTAATTCCTTGATAGAGAAGTTAGAAGACATGAAGGGGCTTTAGCTCACCTGAGGTTGAAGTACATTTGATTGCTGGTGGTAGACATTAGGGCGTTAGAGACCGGGAGATCATACAGATGGCGTTGCCTCCTTGCATCAGAAAGCGAACGCGGGGAGTTTTGGAAGGTAAATGTAGGGTAGAATGATGGGAAGTCTGTGGTATGTGTGTGAGTCGAAGAAGTTCTAGCTGTAGAAACCCTGGGAGGGCGGAGGAATTGGCTATCAATATGATACATTAACATCGTAAGCTGTAATCATAGGTTATTTATTTTAAGGCATTTTATTTATTCCATAGCACCGGGAGGAGAGAGAAGATCATTAAACAATATGATAAAATAAAGCAAAACTAATACAACATTGTTTGACTCTGACAGACAAAGATTTGATCATGGCTCTAAGTAGGCTATTTAAGAATTTTTGACTAGAACAAATAAAATATGTCTTCTGTCCTTCCTGATTATCAAAATTCTGAATTCATAAGAAGAAGAGATCTCAAACTGGTTGGAGCTCCAGCTTTGAGACCCGTTTAGACTATGCTGAGTCATCTGAATCTAGTCTGTTGCTAAACAAACATGTACTCCATGTTTCCAGAAATTTGGGAACTAGCTGAATTTCTCAGTTCCTTAGCACAGTTGTAAAAGACCCACCAAACTACAGATCTCAAAACTTCTCAAATACATTAACCACAGAGATACATGCTGATGTGTTTTCAAAGTATGAGCCCACAAATTAAGTCCGTACAGGACTAAGAAAAAAACTTAGAGCTCTGGATTTTCCTATCCCATTCTAGCTTCTGGGGTTGACAGTGCATTCTTGGGGCTCTCCCAGTTGTCTACGAGGATTGGTTCATTCAGTTTTTATTTTGTTGACCCTTAAGTCATTAACATCCATGCATTCTGGATCACTGGGTGGTGGTGTTATCAGGGTGTGGCCCCGTGTGATTCCACTAGCCATTTTTGCAGTTGTGCTTCTTTCTGATTTTTTTGGTAGGTTCTGTTCTAATGATGGTAAGTCAAGGAGACAAAAACAGATAGATACACGCTTGACTGTTAAAGACTAAATGAGGTCAGATCATTCTGCACAGATGAAGATTTCTTGGATCAAATAGAAAAAAAATAGCGAAAGCATTGAGCATCACAAGGTGTAGAGTAGGTTTGGGTTGACAGACTTCAGAGGACCTGTCACAGATGTCACTCCAGAGTCATGTGCCAAGAGTGGTTTCATTTAGGCAATGCCAATATATGACGTTAAATTTATGTTAATGTGAGTTTTATTCTTCTTGTGGCTTTAGTCCTATTTAATCTGTAATTTTCTTTTAATTTTTGAAATCTATATCGGCTATAAAAATGAGTTAATACCTATATAATGTTTATACCGATTTAAGAAGAAACACTATACTAAAAACAAATTAGGTTAGCCCTGGAGGCCTCTCAAGAACTGTTTTCCTTTCTAATACTCAGGTTTGAGCAACACTATTCTATTTCACTCTGATTCCCACATCATCATTTGAAAGATTGGAACCCCTGCCTGGTGGCTCAGCCCTGGTTCTTAAATAAGCATTGCACAGAATCAATGCCAAAGGACCCCCTTGGCAAAGTTGGCTATTCCTGTGCATTCTGTACTTAGCACTGACTTTGTGGTCATGCCCTACATTCTCCTCAAAATGCTCAGCAGCACTGGGTTGGGTGTGCTAGTCTTTTAAAATCAGAATAGCTTTCAGACGAGTCCACTGCAGTCCTGACTTGAGCATGGCAAAGGAGACTCCTGCGCCAGCTGCAGGAGAGGAACTGGAAGCCGCAGGAAGTCACAGGAGGACGTGGGGCACGAAGGCAATCACTGAGATTCACAAAAATCATTGGAGACGTAACTGGCAAAGCACTACTTTCTGCTTCTCAACAATATGCTCTTCTGTTTGTTCTCGCTGGCAGCACAATAAATGGGAGTTTGCCACGGACCCAGGAGGTGATGTCGGGTGGGAGGAGATGCCATGCCTGCCTGGCGATCTCCTACAACACGACACAAATCCCCAGCATCACCATGAGGTGATAGAGGACATCTGTGAATGAGACAGGAGAGTGGACAGAAACAGTTTACATGGAGCAAGGACAACGCAACAAAGAGTTAACGGAAGAGTCAACTCAGGGGCATTAAGTAGGTTTTCATAAAACTCTGCACATTTTATATAAAATCTGTTTATCTTTTGGGGTTTCTGTAGCTTGGTTTTGTCAGTTCCTTGCAGCGTGCCTTGTCTGAACATGGATAACACAGCGATGGCACATTTCACCTTAGGGCTTTTGCTATAGGACTTCCTTTAGAAACGAGGATCTGGGATTAGAGTCTTAAAAAGTTGGTTTACGTGATTTCCTGTAACCAAGAGCAAAGTCTACATCTGTGAGTTTATTAATAAATAGAACTGTCTTACCCCATCTCCTCACATAGTTGTTCTCCTCATCATGCGGGTGAGATCTTGGGTCTTAGCTGAAATGTTTCTTCTTCAGAGAGGCTTCCCTGGCTGCTATCTAAATCATTCTAAATCATTCCTCTACCCCCACTCCAACGCATCACACTACGGGGAAGTGCAGAAGCCTTGCCTATCTCCCTCTGCAGGAGCTCCACTGCCTAGAAGAGTAGTGATGGCTGATCTTACTGGATGTTTGCTCTATGCGGGGCATTGTTTGGTGCCCTTAGTTGTCACATTTAATCCATACAGCAGCCATGGATGATAGGAGCAATTATTAGGCCTAATTTCTTAGAGGAAACTGGGGAGTGGAAGGGTGAGTTCATTGCCCAAGGTCATTTAGTGACCTTCTGAGCAGGGACTCAGAAATATTTGTTGAAAAAACGGATCATTGAAAATCACATTCTCTAAATGCAGAAACCCAAGCAAAGCTGCTTTAAAGAGCAGCTTTCAATTCCTAGAGGTTTGGCGTCTTTTAAAACACACATTACCTTCTAAAGGCATTGCCCCATGACCCGTCCCAGAGGTGCCTCTTTTCCTTACCTGAGAAGCTATAGAGACTGGAGAATCCCCTGCCTGTAATGAGTAAAGAGAGAGAAAGCTGAAGGTTTAAGAAGAGATCATGGAAGGAGCCTCAGGTCTGTGTTTCCAAAATACAAACCTGACTATATCCTCTCCTGCTTAAACCAATAGAACCCCCCCCATTGCCTTTAAGACCAAGTTTATAGTGGGGTTCACCAAAGCTCTTTGAAAGAAGAAGAAAACCATTTTCTCCTGGCTTTCTAAGGCAGGGGTTGGAAGGTTTCTGGAAGGGGCCAGAGAATAAATGTTTCAGCTATGGGCCTTATGGTCCCTGTTGCAACTATTTGGAGATGCCTTTGTAGGGTGAAAGCATCTGGGGACAATACCTCATATGAACGCGTCTGGCTGTGTTCCAACAAAACTTTATAGAAAACTGAAATTTGATTTCATATCATTTTGTGATATATCATAAAATATGAAATATCATTCTTTTGATTTTTTTTTTCAACCATATAAGTAGGTACAAACCGTTCTTAGCTTGTAGGCCAGAAAACAGCGGCACGGCCTGGATTGGGCCCTGGTCATAGCTTAGCAACTGTTCTCTCAGATGTGTAGCTACTCAAGGCCCCAGCCTTCCCACGGGCCCTGCTCACCCTTCAGGTCATAGCACTCTTCAGGTCATACTGAAAGATTATGGACGCAAGTCTTCCCTAGGCCCTGGACTAGGGTGCATCCCCTTGCCGTGAACTCCCATAGCGCCCTGCCTCCTCCACCCCCATTGATAGTCATCTCCCTTTCCCTTGGCATTTAGCATTTCTCTCCTTGCTAATGATGAGTTCTTGAAGACAAGGGCCACGGGGGTCTCCTTTCATTCTGAAACCCCAGTGTCGAGCCCAGCCCAGGGCCAGCACTGGATGCTCTATGAAGTTTTGTTGACTTGCGCCGGATGTTCCCAGTACATTTCGTTGTCTATTACTACAATTTGCCGCATGCTCTGTCCGGAAGCTCAGCACTTCCTAATTCCTAGCGGGCATTGGAATTTAGGCTGCAGACAGAGAGTTTCAGGGTAGTTAATAAACCTCAACTTCTTGGTATGGCATGAGCTACGGCTTCCCCTGCCGCTGCCCCCCCCTCCCCCCGGCCAGGTGGGAAGCCTTGAGCTGCAGGTGAAGGTAGGGTCTACAGGCACGCCTGGTTTGGCAATTCAGTTAAAATGCTCCAACCGGCTGTGCCTGTGGACGCAGCCCAGCGTGAACTCAAGCATTCGGAAAACGGAGAAGCTTACCACGGAGTGAGAGCTCCACCACCAGGACGCCCCCTGTCTGGTCCCGGAGGAGGCGCTTCCTCTTGTCGCAGGTCTGAAGACCCCCAGCCGCGGGGAGGGAGGTATGAGAAATGCACACAGGAAAGAAAGGGGAGAAAGGCAAGAGATTTAAAAAAAAGAAGTCACAAACTTGATAGAGTCAAAATTCTCCCGTCAGGAGATCTTAGTTACCTTATTTGTCTGTCGTCTATTTACTTACTTGCTTACTTACTTATTATCCAGAGCGCTGTCTTCATCCCTTCTCTAACTTGGTTAAAAGGAAAAAACTTTACTTTATGAACTCTGCAAGCTAGAAGATACCCTGCTGGGAGAGGTTGTTGGGTGTGGGAGGGATTGGCGTGGTTTCTTTTGATAAGAAGTGAGGCTTTTACCTGCAGTTACTCTCCTTACAGTGGTTTGAGAGGTGGACACTTGCAAAATGTGTTCTGGCTCATTTTCTTTTCTTTTTAAAATGTATTGCCAATAATTATCCTTTCATCAACTGTAAAAATATCTCTCTGCTCCCTGCCCTTTATTTGTGCGGCTATGTGATCATTTTCTGGCCAAAACAAATGAGTAGAAACAGAGATTATAATCTTTGTTCTGTTGGTTACCACGGGCTACGTGAGCAGGTGTCCTCTTCAGAAACACTGTGTTCCTCCTCTCTGGGGTCTCTAATCCAGACAGACCAAAGCAGGCAACAGTTGGTGATTTAGCACTTTTTGGTCTAAGGCAGTGGTTCTCAAGCCTGAACATGCCTCAGAATCACCTGCAGGGGCTGTTAAAGCACAGATTTCTGGGCCCCCCGAGTGTTTCTGAATCAGGCGGTCTGGGGAGCCTGAGAATTTGTATCCCTAACAAGTTCCCAGGTGATGCTGAAGCTGTTGGGGACCACACTGTGGAACCACTGTCCTAAGGACCAGGTTCACACCTGGCTGCCATGGAAACCTGGATTCTGCAGCAGCTTCTCGGTGGGGGGTGCAGAGGGGACACTGGCCCCTGGCCTGGGCTGCGCTGAACTTGGCTGTGAGCCCAGGGCCCCACCGCCCAGCGCTTCCTCTCACAAAGTTCAGTTCAGCAGTAATGGGTGTTGGGAATTTCTGCAGCCTCTCTCTGGCTCATTTCAAGTCTCAGAGATGGACCCTTCAGCTGGCCAGGCAAGAGCTAAAAATACCCATCTTTTGACTTCCATGCAGCACCTCTTGCTACCACCGACGTTTTGAATTTTCCTTGTGCTTTTAACTTTTTCAAAGCATTTCCATGTCTGTTATTGTGCTCATTTTACCTAATACGGCTCTCTGAAAAGAGAAGGGCCACCGTGACTTATCACCACTGTCTTTAAGGATGAGGAAACCAGGCTCCAGAGTTTAAGTGGCATGTGCCAGACCATGGCGCTTGTTGGTGGTAGGGTGGACAGGGCCCGGACGTTTGCCCCTACACCCAGTGCCCTTTCTTCCAGAATGCCCTCAGCACACAAGTACACTGGTCTGGTTATGATGCCCAGCTAAAAATACAGCTTCTCAAATACCGCCCCCACTCCCACCTCGGGTCACATTCTCGTTCTGGAGAGAGGTGGCTCACCACTGGGCAGGAGAGCTTCTCACTGTCACAGATGAATGTCTCACAGTGTAACCAAACCTTGGAGAGTTTGGGGATGTTCTGGAACCGGAAAGCATTGAATTGGAAGGTGGCCCTGTGATCTTTCCCATTCTCATATACGAGGACGGTTTCATCCGTGGGGCAGCTGGAGCAGATGGGGCAGGGGGGAGAGAAAGTTACCTCATGAACTCTAGCAAAATCTGAGGTAAATTCGCAGACAACAGCAACACTCCCCTGGGCTCCTATACAGCATGTTATCCTTACAAAGCACTTTGACTGGGAGCACCTTGCTTATCTTCATGATATGAGGTCAAGTTGAGGAGATATGGGATGGGTGTGCTAGTCCTCATTCTATAGACAGGGGACAGTGGGGAGGGGGGCAGGGGGTGACTTAGGAGAAGCTGCACACCAGGTAAGTCACCACACGTCTGTCTCAAAGAAGGGAAATTCCTGAGAGATGAAGTTGTCTGAAGGCCTGGGACATGGACTGACTCCCAGGATGTGTACAAGATAAGGACACTGCTGCTGAGAACAGCATTTCCCAAAAGTACTGCCATAACCACCTGAGCCACGTCATACATTGCGTCTTTCTCTGTGTATCTTGTGAGCGTTTGCCACTGGGAATTTGAACTTAGGTTGTGTTATTTAAATTCTATATTATATAGTTACCTTTGTAAAAATTTGGTCATGTTTTTAATATAGGCACAGAAAAGAAAATGACTGGAGGGATACCATCTAAATGTTAACGCTGGCTATCAGGGAGTGGTGGAATTATGGGCGGTTTCTGCTTTCTTCCTATATCTTTATATATTTTCCAAATACTCTATAACGAGAATGTAGCGTTTGGGAAATCCCAGAGTCCCAAAGATAATAATTTACAATAAAAGCAAAAATAATGACACAGATGGGCATTTGTCAAAGCCTGTGGTTCTCACCTAGGGACGATTTTGCCCCACCCCTCCCCCAGGAGATATTTGGCATTGTCGCCGCAACTAGGGGTGAGGTGTTACTGACATGTAGTAAGTAGAGGCGAGGGGTGCTGCACATCATCACACAATAATGCACAGGAGAGCCGCCCACCCCCAACAAAGAATGATCCAACCCCAAATGTCAACAGCATTGAGACTGAAAAAACTTGGTTTAATCAAAATACTTTTTCATTTACCAAACACACGCTAATTCCCTATTTAAGTGGCAGACATTCAGCAAGGTGTTGGGAGCAGACACAAATGTACAATAAGGCCCACGTGAACTTTGGAGAGTGTTGTGTCCAGGTGACAAGGAACACCAGGGTCTGTCCTTTGTGGAGAAAGGTCTATGGGTCCAAAAGCTTAAGACCAGTGGACAGCACTACAGTGGACCCCAAAGTTAATACTCCTCCCAGAGCTTCTCTCTGACTCCATTGCCAATCCAACTCAGTATACACACGCCAGAAATCCATCCAGCTGTCTGAGAGCCCTTGAGATGTCCCCTCCTCCACACATTCCATCAGAGCCAGACATTAGGGTGCAAATTAGAGGTAGGACTGAAGGAATGTCAACTCTTGGAGTTAGTGATTAAAATGGGAGTGAACAGTATACCTTATATCTGGACCAAAGGTCGGAGGCCTGGCCGCGTTTGTGGTGACCTGTGAGCAAGGACAGAGCTGAAGGCATTTTCTGAGTTGTGAAACAAGACCTTGGAGGATCATTCGGTCAATAAACCTGAGAGCCTTGTACGAACTCAAGACCTGAGTCCTTAAAATAGCTTCTTGCAGCTGGAGTGTCCAAGGCATGGTGTCGGCCGGTGGAAAACAATGTAAACAGAGCTTTGTTGGGGTGGGGAGGAGTCAAGTCCTGGGCAGGCTTAGATGTCTTGGCTCTGCTGCCCCTTGGCACTGGCTATGGCACCTGCCCCTCTGTGACAGACATCGTGGGATGGTGGAATGCCCAAGGGAGGCTCTTACAATATCACCGCAGGAGTCTTCTTCCCTACATAAGATCAAAATTCCTAATAATATATCTCTTCTAAGCTCTCAGTATGCTCTTGAAAACTGGGTTTTCCTCCAAAAGGGCCCAGTGGCAACCAAAAGCATCTGGGAGGTTATGGGAGTGGACTTTCTCATTCCTCCCCTTGGCACTGGTTTTTGTGCAAGTATCTCCAACCTTAAGGGGCCGTTCTAGCTAGGCAGACTATGGAACCAGATGAGGGCTTCTTTAATTTGGCTCTGCTCCAACGTAGGTTCTCAGGGTTTGCCCAGGAACCCTCTGTTGGGGTAGGTTAACTCTGTGCCTGCATGTGTAACAGGTACCCTAGATAATTCCTATACACACTAGAGTCTGAGGACTGCCTCCGTAGACCACCACAAAGCCACAGGCATTCCCCTTCCTGCCATTTTATACATCTGTAAGTTGGAAGCCACAGTACCAGAGTGCTTTGCAAGGAGAGGTTTCCAAGCTATGGCAGCGCCTTCGCCCCATTGTAGCCAATGTGTGAGAGAGGTTCCCATTGCCTGATCATAATTTCAGGTCCCTGTAGGTCAAGAACTTATTTCATAGTCTTCCTGAAGTCATCTGATTGCACCATTGTCAAGAGAACCTAAATTGTCAAGAGAACCTTCAGTGATAGGTGTGACATCCAAATTAAGCTACCATCTCCACAGGAAGCTTTGCTGGGTTGCTTAGATGTGGTTCTGCTGGCCCATCCTACCGACATTGCTTAGGAAATAATGCTGCCTGAGTTTGAACCCCAGATCATCCATCCCCTGACTAGCTCTGGACTTTGGGCAAGTTTCTGAACCTGTCTACCCCTCAGATTTTTTCCTGTATAAAATAGTGCTTATTATACTACCTACTTTATAGGGGTTTGGTGAAATTTAAATAAATTAATATTTGTAAGGCACTGACCTAGAACATGTTTGGTATGTTGTAAGTGCTGTTTAAGTATTTGTTAAGTAAAAATAAATAGTTAAAGGTCCAAGGTGGCTACACCTTTGTTATCTAATCATTTTTGTCCCTGGCCCCAGTGTTTACTTAGCTTTGAAGGGTTCTGGTGGCAACATGGGCATGCGGTCTGTTTGGGTTTGGGGAATGGTCTCTTTTGCATTTACTGTTCATTGTGTGTATGATGTCTACGTCTCTAGTCTAGCTCAACCTGTCCTCTGTTTTAAAAAGTTCCAATTCTAGGTGTTCCCAGAAAATTGTCATCTCAAGCTCAACATGTCATCCCTGAACTCAAGGAGAATCCAACACCCTTTTCCAGAATCTTCTTCTCTAACACCCAACAACAAACAATTCCTTACCTTCACAACCCACAGGTTTGATGCCACATATTTCTCAGGCTTCTTGCCCTGTCCTCCTCTCCACCCCATATCTGATTGGTTGCTAAGTCTTGATCGCCTCTCCCTCCCTTGGATGACCTTTCTATTCACTTGGCTACACCTCAGTTCAGGCCATGACCTCTAATCTGGTCTTTCCACCTCCCATGTACTGCTTCTAACCCGTCACATGGATGACTTCCAGAATCATCTTTCTATGTACAATCCCAATACTTTCGTCCTCTATTCAAAAATTTTAAGAACTCCCAATTATCTACTGAATTAATAACAAAAAAACAGTGATATTAATTAAAATGATTGGATACTGACTAGGTACTACATGCTTAACTTTTTACACAGATTATCTAATTTAGTTCTCACCAGGGTTCTGGTGTCAGACTAATTGGGTTTAAACCCACTTGCCCATAAATACACACATGCTAAGTATGTGACATTACTTAACCCCTCCTGTGCCTCAGTTGCCTCACTTGGAAAATAGGGCTGGTGGTAATAATGACTGTCTCTTGTAAGGCACAAGAGTTAATACATGATGAAGCTCTCAGAAGAGTACCTGGTACCTAGAAAGCACCATATAAATTTTGCTAGTATCAGTACCCAGTCTGGAAGCACAGAGGGTGTCACGGATGTGACCCTGAGGCTTCACCTCTTCTTCCCAAGCCATTCCAAGCCAAAGTAGCCCCAGAGCTACCCCACTTCTCAGCACTGTGCTCTGGAGGGTGGTACTTACCCCTTGTTAATTAGCTGCCACTGCAAGGGATACATGAAATCAGCTGATGGTGTGGCCCAACAGCTGTTCAAAACCACTTTAAACCTGCAAATGGAATAAAATGCATTGCTTTGAGCCAGAGAGTTGTATGCCTAGAAACATCTGGTAATTCAAAAGTCTCTTGGCTGATCTTTTTTTTCTTTTCTTTGGCTTTAAAAATATAAATAGGGAGGAAACATACTTACCTAACACTCAGCCCTTTGGCTTCTACTCCTGCAAACAGATCTGAACCGATTTCATATGTCTCCAGGACAAAAGGGGCTTCCTTCTTAGTGGAGAACTTGGCATTCTTTGGAAGGAAATTGACACTGGTCATTATGACCTCTCAGACTGAGCAGTTGGGTGTGACAGGAGCAGATGAACTGGGGTGGGATGGTGGTGGGAGTCCACCCAAGGGCGCAGGCATGTGAGACCACAGTGAGACCCTCCGGGAGGAGAGACGCTGTATGTCCTAGGATGCTGGGGCCATCTTAGAAGGGACGAGGGTATCACATCTCTGGACTTGCTGGTCACAATGAGAAACACACTGTACGTCTCGTCTACGCCAGCAAGTAACAAGATTTGGCTGATGGAAAAAAGGTGGAATCCAAGAATGCTGAAGCACTGAGCTTTACTTAATCACCCATAGGAATAGGGATAAAACATAGACAACCTCGCTTTGCTCTTACTCACCTCCACTATTTGCCTGAGCAGATTCCAGCCTGGGTCAGGGAGCGTTTGATCTGATTCCAGTACAGTTAACAACAAAGGCAACAACAGCAACTTACTGATCACCTACTGTGTGTCAGGCACTGCTCTCTGTATTGAGATGGTCTCTATGTCAGAACATCCTGTATATTGAGATGTATCTGGGAACAAGGCAAAGATCTCTATCTCTAACCACCTGACATTCCAGCAAGGGATGCAGACAATAGACAGTAAGTGAGTGAATTATATAATATGTTAGAATAGAATATAGGACATTATATAGAAAAACTGTAAGGAATGTAGAGGAGAGTAAGGTAAGGTGGAAGTGCAAGGAGGGGCAAGCTGCAACTTTAAATACCGTCGTAGTTAAGGAGGTCTCACTGAGGTTGTGACATCTGAGCCAAGACTTGAGGGAAGCTAGGAAGCCTGTGCTTCCAGGCTAAGTACTGATACAAAGAAATGCTTCTATAGTGTGTGTAGTGCATGCAGGCATCTGGGGGAAGAATGTTCCAGCCAAGGCAAAAGCCCTGGGTGACAGTGTAGCTGGAGGGACAGCAAGGAGGCCAATATACTGGAGCTTGAGCGAGCAAAGGGGGTGGGGGGGAGCAGGTAGGAAGTGAGGGGGGTTGGTGGTGAAGTGAGAGAGGCTATGGGGATGGATCCAGAAGACTGTGGTTGCAACTCTAAGTGCAATAGGGAGTCACGACCACAACTGGAGCACAGGATCAGCAGCCTTTGGTCACTGGCGTGGTGTGTATGGTCTTCATTTGGTCTCTTCATCAGGCAGTTCTAGGTGAGTTATTAAAAAAATAGTAGTGTGTCTAGTTGACCTACCCAAAGGAGGCTGATTTCTCTATTCATTGTCTTAAAGTTACTAAACGCAACTTTAGTAACAACCTTTAACTACTCTCTGAGTTTAGCCTCTGGAGACAAAAGCACCATGATGGAAGGACAATGTTGCTGGGCTAATCCTAGATCCCACCACTAACTTTTAGGCAAGTCAGACATTTGGGCTTCAGTTTCTCCATCTGAAAAATGGGAGTAACCTTTGCCTTCATCAGCCTTGCAGCAATGTTTTTATGATGATGATTTTATGTAATAGAAGCATAAAGCTTAAACCAGGATACTAGGTAAAAGATCGAGTTTCATGGACTTGGAGATTTGCAGAACTGCAATGGGTAAACAAGCAGCAAGGATATCTAGTTGCAATGGACTTTAGCCCCCTAATGGTCCAATTCAGGGTATTTGCTGAGAGGCCTTAAAATCATTTTCTAGGGGCTCTTAAATTTTTTCCTGATTGCAGGTACAACTAGGCCTCGCTGAGTCAGACACTCAGAAGTCAGTTCTTTTCTTCCTGTATGCTAACCCCCTGCACCACATAAATGGTTGCAATAATTAAATAATAATGTTCTTAATCATAAGTGATTTACTAACTTACTATGCAGTTAAAGTGGCAGATTTACAATGATTGTTACTGTTTATTATTATTTTCTGAGATTTGTCATATTTCATGAGACTGTTTACAAATGGAGGACATAACCTGGGGCCACAATGCAGTCCCCCAGCCTAGCCACAGGTGCTTCTCCCAGCCCCATCTCCCAGGGACCAGCCCATGGGGTATTAGAATATTGGAATAATGCCTCTACTTGCAGAGAAACTAGTGCAATTCTGTTACAAAGTGGAGAAGAGAATATGCACCGTTAATTCCATTTCTGAAACAAAACACTTTTAATGGTCAGTTTCTTCACTTCTCACCTTATAGCTAAGGCAATTCTCAGCATGATTTCCTCCTACTTTCTTTATAACATAAGTTAGGGACCTATTTCCAGATAGCCTCATCCTATAATACCGGGACCATTTGCTTTGGCATTCCTGGAAACATAGAAACACCACATAAACTACTCATTTGTGGAACAGGAGGGAAGAACACCTTGAAAAATCAAGCCTTCCAGTCCCTTCCCCTGATGGAAAGATTGAGTCACAATGGTCCATTGACACTGTTAAGATGGGTACATCTGGTTTAACAGCAGTTGATGTGGGCAAGATCTGGGAGCTGCTGTTGCTCGCAGGCTCAACGTGAGATAGAAATGAAAGAAAGCTGCACAAAGCTAATATTCTAGAACATGTTCCTAGAGTCTTTCAGAACTAAGAAGCTCACCCCTGACCCACTGTGCCCTGCAGAGGTCTGAAAGGGTCTAGAATATAACATTTCCATTCTGGGCTCTGCTTTTTAGTGGGGCAGTGGCCAACTGGATAATTCTCAGAGAAGAGGGGCTAGGATGATGGAGCACCAATGGTGGGGAGATGTTGGGGAAGATAAGCTTGAGATAGTTGAAGGACCATCAGCAACATCATGACTCAGTATTATTTCAGAAGACAGAACCATGACCAATGGACTATGGTTCAAGATATCAGATTTCACAAGCTGATCTAAAACGGGAAAGTCTAACTTGCCCTTGTCCTTGGAAAAGGTGGGGAGCAATCTTGCAGAAGGGCTTTGGACGTTGGTTAGGAGGTCAAGGTTGATCACCTCTGAAGATTGTTCTGACTTTGGAAGTCTATGAATTTTGCCTCTATTGCCTGCATTTGTCCTATCCCAAGCCTTTTCCCTGGTCTCTAACTAAGAAGAATTGTCAATACTATTTTGATTGCATAAAAGTCAACCTTATCCCATACTGACTTTGATGGTATAAAGGTAACACTATAATGGTAACTGCTGGTGCCAAGAGCTCTCAGAGTTTTTGCTTTATATGGGGTCAAAAGCTGTGATCATGAGTTTGGCTACTTTTGCAGGCACTTACTTTGTACCAGGTAGTATGGTAAGTGCTTCATAAAAATAATTTCCTTTAATCCTCATCATAAACGTGTGGAGTAAATGCTATTATTATTTCTATTTAACAAATGAATAGATGAAGGCCCAAAGAGGTTAACTAACTTACCCAAGGTCGCACAACTAGTAAATGGTAGAACTAGACCTGAAACCAGTGGGCCAATGGCAGACCATTTTCTTAAGCACACTGCTAGTCCACTTCTACAAGCTGACTCCCTTCCTTTATTTTGGACCGGGGGCCAAAATGACTTCTCTCCAGGAATACCAAGTATGGGCTGTTGGCAGGAGTGAGTGGGAGGGGGTAGAGGGAGAAGAGAGGAAGCATGTCGAGTAGAACTGGTGGTTTTGGAGCCCAGCACTTGGAGCTCTTGGAATCCTAAGCAATTAGCCGTGCACTGATTCCTTTGTGTAATCTAGGGCACAGCTCTGTGCCTGGTGATTTGATGGAAATGTATGCAGAGGGCAGATGTTGCTTCAGAAACACACAAGAATGCTCTCAGAGCGGAAGAAGGGAGGGGAAGAAAAATACCAGCCGTGTGGGTCAGGCCTAGGAAACCAAGTCCATGGTAGGAATATTAATCAGTACAAAAATGTTGGTTGCAACATCAGACCCCATCTTTGCTGAGGTCTGTTTGTCCTGGAAGGGTCTTGATGAGCCCCAGGGGACACCTTAGCCTCATTTCTAGAACAGCTCAAGGAAGTGTCCTGGAAAGTCTGTCTATCCAGCCCAGAGGATGATCTGGGTGATGATGAGGCTATACCTCTATTTTGTTGTTGTTGTTTTCTTAAAAAAGAATAGGTTCCTTCCAATTCTAAGATTTGCTATATATGTCCGAAACAGCCCAACACGGCTGATGGTGGGTGATGATTTTTGATAATCCTGGTACCTCTCTAGTGCCAGCTGTCATAAAATCCTCATAGGAGCATATCTGTAGTTTTATCTGGTTAAAATAACAATCATGCACATCTGGACAGGCGCTCAGTAGTAAGGACAGCCCATCACCACGATGTCCCCTGAGACCATTGTCGATGAGTGAGCCTGTTTTTCTCTCTGGACAACCTTTATCAGTTATTGCAATGATGTTGCCATCTTTTAATCCCCCCTGCTGGTCCACACTGCATTAACCCTCTATAACCCTGACTATAGGCCCAGGGGCTATATGGGATTCCTTTTGTCTGAACTTAACCATTAGGGGTGTGCGGTCAGGGGCAGACCTAGGTTCTTTGGGACCTTAACATTTCTATAATGTAGAAAGCCCTTTTTAATAAAAAGAATCAAAATTTTGAATATGAAATTAGACCCAGGGCCTTAAATGAGGCCAGTGCAAGAGAAGGATCATGAAACCCAAGCTCCATTTCCTTCATAGGAAGTAAGCCTCAGAGAGCAGTGCTAAGAGATCCGTATGCTAGACTGGGCACTGCTCCACACTACCTGTGGGATCATGGGCACACCACTTCCTCCTTCTGGGCTGCAGATCCTTGTCTGTAAAATGGACCAGGTGACTCTGGGATCCCTTCTAGAGGATCTCTCACCTTCTGAGTTCAGCTGGATTGGTAGCTTCTAGGCAGCAGGTAAAGCAAGTTCAAAGAGTTCAAGGTCAGTGGAGTTCCAGGTAATATAGTCCTTTCCTTTGTGAGGTGAATGGGTTGGACATGATGGCTTCTAAGAATATCTCCCAGTTCTAATGTTCTATGTACAAGTTTCGATTTCTGCCTACATCTTCCTCCAGCCAGCTGGAGTGTCACTCTAAGTATGCCACCTTCTCATTGGAAGCTGCAGGTTAAAAAAAACAAAACACCCCTTCTAAACAGGAGGGCAGCTGGGCTAATGGCTGTTGCATATTTAGTTTTATTTTGAGAGACCAAAGTGTGCCTTTAACTTCAATGTCAATAGAGGCAGTGTGCCTAAATTAGACCAAGAGGAAGCCTACTCTCTGAATGGCTTTGGATACCAAAGAACTAGGCAACAGAGGGCAACCCCGACCTCTCTCCTCAGCTCTGTCCCAGGCAGGAAGGTCACTACTCTGCGCCAAATGCTTTAACGGGAGCTAGATTCTAATATAACTCTCTGGAGTGGGTTGCAGTGGAAACTAACCTGGCTTAAGAGTTAGACGTTGGCCATCTTACTGCCTCCTGACCTCTGACAACTCACAGGATTGCTCTTGCCTCAGTTTTATCAGAAGATGGGAACAATGACTTTATATCTCTGTGACACCTTTTATAGCTCCTCCATCCAGTCTATGAATCGACCTTCTTGTTGCATCTAGTCTTTGAAGAGGTTTAAAACTAGACCAAAGCTTATGTCTTAATTTGAATTCAAGAACGGGGTTCTGCAGAGAGCTTAGGGACGAGTAAATCCTGAGGAAGCCTCCCCTCATTTCCTGAAAAGGCCATGGGGCACTAATGAGAACCTGGAGACCACTTACAGTGTAGAAGTTGAGAGACAATTGGCTTTCAAATGTGCCCATGCTCCCGTTCTTCACGTGAACAGTGGCCACTCTGAAAAGGGGAGAGAATTTTACATAAGGACTGAAACATGCCTGATTGACAGGGCCTGCAGAACACACACAAGGCCGCCAGCCCTCCACTCTCAAAGCAACTTACCTTTGGTCAAAGGCAGCCTGGTTGACCAAGTAGGTGGAATGGTAGGTGCAGGAGAAGGAGTAGTTCACGGGCTGGTTCTTTACGATCACTGTGCTGTCATTGGAAATGATATGGCTGTAGAAGTGGTAGATGGGGGGCTTGTACTGAAAAAGGAAGAAGACAGTTAGGGTGGCCCTGGGCCCCATGATGAGAAGGAGGGTTCTGGGAAAAGCGATCGAAGATGATCAGACCCACGGGGAGACGTCAATGGTGAGCTGAGAATTTCTGCAAAGAGTTCTTGAATATGTTCGACCAAGATTGTTTAAAATAACCTAAGTTGAATGTTGCACACTTACAAGAGATCCATATACCCATTGGGCTTCTGACCAAAAAGAACTGGTGAAAGAATCTCTGTTTCCCAGCATCAACTTTTTATCCATTTCCCCCATCCAAGTAATCTTACATGAATGCCTTCACCCATCTAGCACATCATTACTATGTCATATTTGCTCTTTCCCTCTTCCAATAATGACCACTATTCCTGTGACTTTTTCCTCTGGCTTGTTGAACTGTAAGATCACAGAATATTGGAGTTGGAAGGGATCTTGAACATCTATGTGAGAGGTGACCTGCCTAAGACCACACAGATGATTTCTAGTTCACTCTTCCAGGATACTAAAAGACATGACGTTTCTGTTAATCATGTCCATTACTCTCTAAATCACTAAGTCCTCATGGGGTCTTTAGGAAGAGGAGGTGGCCTTGGGTGCTCTTTGCTCTCATTTTCAGAGATCTCCTGTATGTACAGCCTTCTGCAGTCAAAGTAGCAGGAATGCTAGGGGTCAAAAATGGAGCAGCCACCCTTCGTGACTACACCCCTACTGGTTCTGGGGCCCCCAACTTGTGACTTTATTGGGACGTCTCCAATGTCTCCTCTGACCTATGAGGATATTTGGCAAGAGGCTGCATGTGGTTCCTTTTAATTCTGATTACCTGTCCCAAGTACTTCACAAGACCCAATTATGAATTGTATTATACTTTGGATACTCCTTTAAAGTGCCTTTCCGACTACTTCAAAGTCTTGGGCAGAGGATGTCCCACCATCCAACCCAGAAGGATGGCAGCTTGTGATCACATGCTCAGAACTCAAAGCAAGGTGGAGGTGGGAGATGTGTATTGTTCTACTCAGTGGACGGTGGCCTAGTTCACTCAGGCAACAAATTAGGAGAATAAAATTCAAATCCAAAGACTCACTTAAACTAGGCAGATGAGAAGAATTTAAATAACACTAACATCCCAGGAAATAAAAGTCAGGATTGGCTATTAAAAGGAAATTGGTGAATTCTGAATCCCTTTAAGGGTGGGCAGCAGATATCTTATTTTGGGGCCCAGTTGTGTCATCTCAGCAACTCCTCGTTGTGTGGCCTGGACTTACCTCGGACTGCGTTCCACAGTAGGACTTGTTTTTAGGTGACAAATCCGGGATCACAAATTGATAGTAACCTCCTTCATGGACCCCATTGTAACACAGTCCCCCAAGGGCCAGCTGATGCACTTCCCAGCCATAGGGACACTCGGGGATTTTGGTGATGATGGTTTTGGGATAACAAAACACAAGAATGACATCTAGAAAGAGGATACACGTGGTTTGAAATCAGATATGGTAATCATATTAATCTTCATAAAGAACAGTGGGTTCTAGCCACACCTGAACATGGAAAGCAGTTGGTTAAAAACACTTTCCTCACTATTCTTCATGAACTGTGATGAATGTTTTCCCCAAACCTCAGCCACTGAAGTTTTCTAGTTTCCGCTACATCTCTGTGATATCTGCACTATACTTAATATATACTCAAAACTGGTCTACTTTTCAACTTTAATCTATTTTAAGGAATATATTTGTGAAACCAGGTTGAATGGATTAGAAATATAGATAAATTTAGAAATATATACAAATTTCTGTGCCCATGAAAGTGAGCACATAATTTAAAATTTTTAAAAAATGTCCATTTCAGGCATAACATTGTGAAACACTAATTTATGACACAGGACATAATTTCAATAAGTCACATAGGAAATAGATTATGTATTTATTAAATTATTGTAATACATTATTTATTTATTGAAAATAAATATTTTTAGGGGTGCCTGGGTGGCTCAGTCGTTAAGCTTCTGCCTTTGGCTTAGGTCATGATCCCGGGGTCCTGGGATCGAGCCCCGCATCAGGCTCCCTGCTCAGAGGGAAGCCTGCTTCTCCCTCTCCCACTCCCCCTGCTTGTGTTCCCTCTCTTGCTGTGTCTCTCTCTGTCAAAAAAATAAATAAAATCTTTAAAAAAGAAAAAAAAAGAGAAAAGAAATATTTTTATATCTATGTATCTATCCATTCATCTATCTAGGATTCTCTAATTTTAAAAAAGTCTAAGTTTCTCCAATACATTGTTATTTCCTATGGGAAAAGTCTGGTTGGCACTGGAGTGCTTTATTGCAACTACTTGGCTACAGTATTGATATTGCATTTTGATAACAAAAGAAACACAGAGCTCTGAACTTTGCAAAGAGTCTTTGGGAAACCTCCCTTTTGGGGAAGATGGGCTAGTCCAAGGCATACCTGCTTTATTCGGAGTACAAGATCTCGCAGAGGCTTCTGCAAAGACAACCAGCAGGACAAAGGCCTTCATCACCATCGCTTCTCAGAACCCGCTCTTTGACAGGTGGTCAAACCAAGCTGCCAAATGTTCACAGTCCTGCCAGAGAGCCCAAGCCTGGATCATTCTAGGTCAGAAACATGAGTGAAAAGTTAAAATCAAGGGTGAAAACAAAGCAGCACACACAATCCTGAGGGAAATTTTCAAGGGAGATCGATAATTCTGTCCTCCTTTCTTAATGGTTCCTTGTCTGCGCTGAGAGGCAAAAAGTGGGGCTCCTACCACTGGGAACGTCAATGACACATGCGGTTGCTCATGTTCCCGACTGTTTCATTCTCTCTGGACTGTAGAGGCTGCCTCCCAGATGCTCCCCAAATCTCCGGCCTCATTCCTAGCTCAACTTTATATCAGCTAAGGGTGTAAAAGAAACCGGCTCCAGATAAATCACAATGAACATGCATTATCCACTGTGGGGGGGAAATAAAGGGAAACCTTGCACAGTGATCTGATGGGAAGCTCAGGTTCGGCCACTTGAATCTAATTCCTTTGACTTCACAGAGTTGGAAAAACTTTTTTTTTTAACTGCTTCAACCAGGATTGGAATAAAAAGTTGAATTTTTTCCCCCTCATACAAAAATAACTTTGATTAGAGGCAAACCCTAATTTCTGCACAGTTCTAGGGGACAATTTTCTTTCTTTATGTCTTGCTTTCTTTGCTTTATTTCTTGCATTCTTATTTTTATATGGAGGCTATCTAAACTTTAAACTAAAGAGGACCCAAGTTCAGCAGTGTTACAATTGCTACTCAAACAAAAAATAGGTTGTTAGTATTAATGCAAACATGTTAAGGGATTCCCGTCCCCCCCCCAATATTTTTTAATAAACTCTAAACTAGAATGTCATCCTGGCATTTCTCTAGAACTTCATCCTGAATACAACTTTTTATTTTAGTTCTCCAGGTTTTGAAGTTTTGTTAGTCTCCTAGAGCAGTGATATTGGAAGAAGGAACTTAGAAAGGCAATCTTATAATTCAATCCTTAGTCACCAAACAAGATCCCACTGAAAACAACAGATAAAATCCTACTCCTGAGAAGTTTCTGAATATATTGCCTGAGTTTTTTTTTTTTTTTTAGCACCCAGAAATTTAAGAATGAAAAATCAGGGTTTGTTTTAATTTTTGTTTTTAGAGGAAACAGACTCTTTTATCAATCAATGAAAGCTACTACATAAAGCCCTTTGAGAGGCAGTAGTAATAAGTACAGAAAAATGCTCTCTTTTGCAGGGCTTTATAATGTAGTTGAGAAGCTAAGTCATCAATACACAATGATTCAGAGTTAGAATACTGGGTTAAAGCATTGTTTTGCTACTTACCACATTTCCTTAGTTTTAAGATACCCATTCCTCCCTTTGAGCGCACATAATTTAATGTTGTGGAAACACTGGGATGTGTTTTATAAGCAATGTGCATACGTAACATGGTAGAGATTCCTTATTTCCTAAAAATCTAATGTTAAGTTGCTGGTATGTCTTACAATGATGGTGTAAAAAAAAAAACCAAGGAAGTAGCCATGTGGCAAGTCATTAAAAATTTTTGTGACTCAGTTTCCTTCTCTCTAAATGGAGGCATAACCCTGGGCTTACCTTACAGCGTGAGAGAGCAATGAAATGAAGGCTCTTGTAAACTGTGAAGTAGTCAATAAATAATAGATTACATGAAAAGACAACTAACAATTTCATGCGAATGTATATGTCCCTGAGTTGTTTTTTTCTCCCCCTCAAAGAAAAGCACCACGTGTTACATCATAGATTCATTTAACAGGAGACATATCTATATTGTATAATGGACATGCATGTATTTTATGGATAAAGACCAAATGGGGTGAAGAGGGGAGGGGGATAGAACATATTAATTTTTTTTATATATAGACACTTGGATCAAGTTTCCTGTGGCCTGGAAGCACCAGCATGTTTATGCTGATCTTCACAGTTCATTATAGGCATTACTTCCTGAGCACCAAAAAGGCACTTGACTCTAACAAAGTATGTGTGACTTCTCTGAGTTTCTCTTTCCTAGGGCTTAGCACTAACTCTGTGTTTCTTCCTTTGTCCTTTTTCTTAAACATTTATTGAGCCCCAACAGTATACCATGCACTGGGAAGACACAGGCAAGTCAATGGTGCTAGGAAAGCCAGGTCACAGAGGCCCAAAGCAGCCTAGCTTCTAGAGAATGGCCCCTCGGATTTGGCATAATGATTGTTCACCACTGATAGCTCACTATTGCTATTCTATATAGTTGGGATTCTTGTTTCTATTCCAAGAAGATTCTTTTCAATATTTTCAGGTATAGGCTTCCGTTCAGCCAACTTTTGCCCAAGCAGGCCAATAGGATCATCTAGTCTCTGACCTGGAAGGGCAGAGTTCTCTCAAGGAAAGTGTTACAGTGGAAATCAAAACCTTTCTTGTCTCTCAGTGGAAATGTCTGATAAACACCTACAAGATGCTGTGAGGGAGTATAGGGTCAGTTTGGGCAGATAGACCCTGCTGTTGGCCTGAGATCAGAAGCCCACCCATAGCACTTACTAGCTGTAGGTTCTTGGGCAAGTTACTTAGCTTCTGTGAGCCTTAATTTCCTCTTCTCCTGAAAGGATATGATAATATCTACGACATAGTGTTAGAGTATTAAGTAAGATATAAATTGGTTTACACAGACAAGGTTTATTTTCCTCTGTAAGGGTCAGGGCATCAGGGAGGACTTTTTTAATGCTTCGTTCTGCTTGGGAAATCCAAAGAGGGGAGCCCATTAGGAGTGGGTCATCACTGGATAGTATACACATTATTGCCGTCAACGCTGAATTATGTCATAGGTAGCTAAGAGCGCAGGTTCTGGATCAGAGATTGTGGCTCTATCACATTTCCAGCTGTGTGATCTTGGGCAAGTAATGTGACCTCTCTAAGCCTTTGGTTTCTAAAGCTGTAAAATGGGGCTTCCTATTGCCTACGGCTGTTGCAAAGACCTAATGAAATGACACATGTAAATTGCTTAGCACAAGGCCTTGTACACAGTAAGTGCTCAGTAAAGGTTTACTGCCATTAAGTTTATTCACCTGAGATTGGTATCCTCAGATTGGGAAGACATGTAAATAGTGTTCCCGTATGAACTCTGGGCATTTTCTAATGGGAATAAATCTCTCTTTAGAAGCCCACCTTAACAAAGAGCAGGTGCTTTTGATTTCCAGAAAAGCCCTGTAATGATACGATCTCGCCTACAGTTTCTTGGATGTGGGGACCCACCTAACAATCAGGTATATGATACTCCTTTCAAGGGCAAGTTGAATGAAGTTAGGGAAGCAGAGTCAACTTTTGTGGCAGGCTGCTCGCTAGATGCTGAATTTGCATAAGAAACAGAACAGGACAAAATGTACTTGGGCTGAACAGTATTTGATACTTGCTCTGATAAAAGGTAGGAGGCTCCTATTTATTCCGAGTAATTACCCACTGTTCTGCCACCCCACCCCACCCCCTCTCTGCTTTCCAATACCCCTCTCCCTTCTGGAGAGGAATCGAGGGCTGCCACTGGGGGATGGATCTCAAAGCAAAGTCTCCCACTGAGACTCATGGCTATTTCTCCATCAAACACACAAACAAAACTGATGGGAAGATTTGAACACTCCCAGAATCTTAAAAGAATCCAGGAAAGGGGGTTTTATGGCAGACTCATCTGAAGGGTGAGCTTATCTCTCCTGTGTCTTTCTTTTGCGAATTGCCAGGCAATAGAAGTTATCTGTTCTATTTAGAGGTCTTGCATGATTTGTGAAAGCTGACCCAGACACCAAAGGGTTGTCATTTGCAAAATTCCAATCAACATTTTCATTCATTGCTCAGAAATCATATAGGTGATGAATCACGATGATAAACAAACCAGGAAACCCTTACTATGGTAACAGATGGTACTTTAGAAATAAAGCTAATAAGCATGCATTAAAGTTTAAAAGCCTGCTTTATTAACTTATTTTTTTAAAGCACACTGTTTTGAGTTCATTAAATGTTGGCTTTGTTAAATGGACTCCATTGTTTCCTTTAAGCCCTGAATCAAGCCTTCTTCTACTTTGTGGGAGACTCTTTTGCCAATTTGCAAATGAGTGGGTGTTCCCATGCAGGCTTCAGTGGCTTACTCCTTGGGAATTAATAGTTCTCCAGAGAAAGTGGTGTTCCCCGCAGAGAAAATACACTTCATAAAGGAGAATTGAGAAGTGAGAAAAGAGTCTGTGCTGCTGGTGCATCAGAAATTCAGAGCAAGAAGCTCGACCTCCCCCATTCCTCCCCAGACCCAGCAGCCGCCAGCTACAGGAAGCCCGATTACCCCAGGAAGAAGGAGATCCTTTGGTCTTATCTGGCTAATCTCTAAGCAGGAGGCGTGGGGGGAAATAAAGCCTTACTTCTTTCTCAGAAGAGTAGGACCCATTGGCCCCTCCCTGGCCTGTCTCCCCACCACCCTCCTTGCTCCCAATTATAAGACTAAAGAATAAAAAATAGTTCCTCTTCAGATCAAAACCAGGGATCTCATTGCTGGTCGAAAACATTCAAGATGGATAATTTGTTCTGTTTTTAAAACTTCCCAAGATATCGTCCTTTTATCCCTTCATTCATTTACTCATTCATTCATTCATTCATTCATTCACCAAAGATGTAATGAGTGTTTGTTAGGTACCAGGTAGCAATCAAATATACATGAATATGTACACAGATGGTTCTTGACATAATGATGGTTCTACTTAAGATTTTTTGACTTCACGATGTCTTGAAAGTGATGTGTTCAGGATGAAATCTTCAAATTTGAATTTGGATCTTTTCCCTGGGCTAACAATACATGGTACAATACTCTTCTGTGATGCCGGGAGGCCCCATCATAAGTTGAGGAAGATCTGTGGATCTTCTACTTGGGGCAAATGTAAGGATATTGAGGAAGGACACAAATAGTTTATGAAGAATAACAGGACAGAGAAGAGGCATCTAATTTTGATCATCTGGTCAAGATGGGG